GGCGTAGCTGGGGAAGAGGATCTGTGGATGCTGCTGTGTGTCTGCTGCTTGTACGAGTGGCGTCGGTATCATGAGCTACTTGGCCCGACCACGCTTGAAGGCGTGTTCCCGAACCTCAACTTCTTCGAAGCTATCGGGGGCTTTGACTTCAAGGAGGTATTTCGCTTCGAGAAACCGCATTTCTTGCAGCTTCTACGAAGGCTGGAGCTTCCGGACAGCTTCGAAGTTTCGAGGTGAGCGTGTGGCACGAAGAGTCGCAACACAGCACAAGTGGTCGCCATGTCCATAGGGAAGGGCGGGGTTAAAGGCTGCACGCTACATGTAGGTAGGACTTGGGACTTCTTTCTGGGCTGCAGCAGTCCTGGAGATGCGCCCTGAATCCGACAGGTAGGCTTGTTGCTGGTGTTGTCCTGCTGTTTGAAAAAAAACACGCGCAAACACATAAGTCTACACGAATTAAAAAAAAATGGGCAGACGAGCGAGGTCACGAACACACGTAGCACCAACGCAAGCTTCTTTAGAGCAGGAAGAAGGTGTTAGACTTGCCAAATAGGATGGCCCTTTCGGCGACGGCAGCGGAGGGTTACGTCTAACCATCATGATCATGCTGTATCTTGAGGGAAACTTTTTGCTGTTGCGCTCGTAGTACGCAACAGCGAGTGAGGATCGCGCAACTGCTGATGTACAACGCATCAAGTAAGATGGCGGTACCTCTGAAGAACGTGCTTTACGGTGGTCGCTTTTTTATGCACACCGATTTTCTATACGTCTGATTAGAAACCGTGGAGCCACCTCTCACTGTTAGTACTAAAGCCTGCCTTACCCCTCCACCATTGTGTCCTCCGGTTACAACCGCTCGTTCGTGGTTTCAGACAAGGGTATGGCGTGACGAGGGTGCCAGCGTATGTTGCCCTCGCCCTGACACTGTGGAGGCTGTCCGCACCGACCACCTTGGTCCGGGATAGATTATTCTGGGGCATGTCTGAGACGCTGATTTGCGAGGTGTTCAACCTCACGATAGAGGCGATATACGAGCGTTGGGGGCATTTGGTGGAGCACTTGCAGGTTGATGCTATTCTCCCGAAGATCGATACATTTTGTGAGGCCATTCACGCAATGGGGGTACCTCTCCCGCGTTGCTGGGGTTTTTTACATGGACTATTCGTAAGATTGCTCAACCTGTTCGTTGGCAGCGTATCTATTATAACGGTTGGAAGCGTGTACACGCCTTGAAATGCCAGGCGGTTGATTCGCCGGACGGAATAATCAGGCAACTCTGGGGCCCCACGGTCGGGCGTAGGCACAATGTGACGTTGCTTGGACAGAGCGCACTTTTAAACGTTTTAGAGCAGTCGTTCAATGACGAGATGGGAGAACCCTACTACGTATACGGTGACCTGCATACCAGGCGTCGCCGTGGCTTATGGCGCCTTTCCGGGGGGTGCTGACCGCCCTAGAAGAGGCATTGCATTCAACGCGGAAATGAGCGCCTTCAGGGTGTCCGTCGAGTGGGGGGTTGGGCGAGTCGTGGCCTTGTGGCCTTACATCGATTACCAAAAGAAGCAGCAAGTAGGTTTAAGCGCGTGTGGCCTTGGGAAGCAGTACAACGTAGCTGGCATCCTGACGAACTGCCAATGCTGCTTCT